TCTTAGGGATTCCAATCGAGCAGAAGACCTGTCAAATGGATAAGATGTCGCCTCTTTATAAATTCAGGCTCTCTTGTACTACCAACCTCGCTACCAACTGTGAAACTTTAATTTACCGTTTAATGCGTGTTCGATGAACAACTTGCGATTGTTATGTTTGTTTGTTATAAAACAATGAGATCCGTGGAATAACATTTGAATTCTCGAACTAAGAAAGTTTTTTGAAAATTACACGGGAAAATTTTCAATAATTTGAGACTAGGCCAGTTTTTCCCATTCTTGTTCTTTGGGAGATTTCAGACTTCAAAGATGGTGTATTTTAAGGATTTCAGATTTAAAAAAAAACAAGGCTCATGAACTTGGACAACGGACCTTCTTACCTTTTTTACGAGTGTTACTTCACGGTGAAAACGAAGTCACTCACGGTGAAACGATTAAGGCCCACGCACATTAGATCCGGATCGGACGCGTTGCGGCAAAGTGACAGCTAAACTTATTGTCTAACTGTCAAATTTACGTCAACGCAACGCAAACGGATCTAATGTGGGTGGACCTTTACCGTGTAAATCAAATGGGAATCACTTCACCGTGAAACAACATCGGTAATAAGGACCAAAACGTTAAGATTCGGACACTCCGAAGCATTTGGATAGAGAATTATGATAAGAATGCCAAATGAGTTTTGAAGAGAATTGTAGAGATGATTATAAAGGAATTATAAAAGTAGACTTTCAATGGAATTTGAATAGAAATATGGAAATAGAAAGTATTCAAGCAAATTGTAAGGTGAACGACAGGTGATTTCTAAGGTAGATCTGAAGAAACTACTATATGGAGATTACAAGTTGTATTCAAGGGAGCTCAAAAGCAAATAGGAAATAAGTTAAAGGACCATTCAAAGGGAATTCAAAGTGAAAGAAGCAAACTCATTGATGATATGACCTCCGACAAACCGACATGAAAGCCCATAGCAAAAACAATAAAAATTTCTGACCAAAGCCCACTACTGACATCTGGCTCCGTGTTCGCGGGAAATATTTAGCTAAGCATGAACCCGCATGCAAAAGTTATGAATTGGTTCGTGTCTGATCTATTCTGGACAAATTATGTTTATCTAGATCAAAAAATCCTATGGTTTTGAGTTCGGATCACTGCACATTTAAATCGGCCGTTTACGATTTTCGGACATAAGCCAGAATTAAGAGTCATGTCGGTTTGTCGGTGATATGACTACAATCCTGAAACTACGCCTGAAAATCTTTTAAATGTTGATCGATCGATTAATCAAAGAGAAATTCTGAAGAGAGCTGCAACGAAACATGGATAATAATTCTAATGAAATCTAATTATTAATATAGACTAAAAAAGTCATTGTAGAAGATTAAGCGAGTTTTAAGATAGTTTCAAGAATACTTCTAAAGGGCTTTATGAGAATTTTTAAGCAATATCAAAAAGTATGAGGAGCCGGCGCCGGTTGTGTAGTGGTAAGCGTGACTGCTTTTTAACACCCCAATGGGTCTGGGTTCAATCCCAGTCGAGGTCGGTGGGATTTTTCTGAGGCATAAAAATCTCTGGTCACGTCTTCCTTCGGAAGGGAAGTAAAGCCGTTGGTCCCGGCCCATGTGTGGTTTGAATGGGTGCGATATCCTACGCAGGTGTGGAAGCTGCCTTCCTGCACATTCGATTGCCGTCAATCGATATCCGTCGGTGATTGGCACTAGATTGCGGAACAGAGACCGACGTTAAATAAAAGAATGAAGAAAAAGTATGAGAGGATGATTAAGCTGGAAATGTTGAGCATATTTCCAAAGAATTTCTAAACAGTGTTCCAGGAGATTCTGAAGAAATTTTTCAAGGGAATACTAGGGCATTTTGAGAAGCATATCAAGGAAATTCTGAGGCAAATTTCTATGGATTCAAACGGCTTTACTTCCCTTCCGAAGGAAGACGTGACCAGAGATTTTTATGCCTTAGAAAAATCCCACCGACCAGGGCTGGGATTGAACCCAGACCCATCGGGGTGTTAGAAAGCAGTCACGCTTACCACTACACCACCGGCGCCGGCAACCCCAAGTTTTGCATAGGATCATTTTTCGAGAATTAGACTTAAGCCTATTTGGAAGTATAACAACTTAGGCGACTTAGGCATATCCCTATTTCAATCGAAACAGGTTTTCCATCCTGATTGAAATGGAAAAATGTTTTTTTTTTCAAATAAAGGCTTTCTTTCGATAGGCAAATCCACCAGGCAACGTTTGATTTCTTTCTGCGATGATCGAGCTGTATTCACATCACAAAAAGAACCTTACAATTCTAGTTATCCAGTTTGTAACATACGTGTACAAAATGCGAGATACAGGCGGTACCGAAAAACTGGTACGCCCGAATCCCCCGCGAAGCGACTCCGGTTCTTAGTACAGACGCTGGGCGTTTCCCATCGAGGACTTGATGTGCAGCGAGCGGACGTTCTGCCAGTGCTTCTTCAACAGTGACACCAGGAAGTTAATCGACAAATGCACATTCTGGGCCAGCTCATCGGGGTTCATCTTGACGTGTCCGACGGCAACCGACAGGCACAGGACCTTCTTCATCTGGAACTTGATGGTGGCCTTGACTTCGTCGATCTTGGCCGTCATCGATTCGCTGTGGGCGAGCAGACCAGGGAACTTACCGGCCTTGTTCAAACCGGGACCCAACAGACGGGGAATCTGCTTGATCAGCGACTCGGAAGCCAGGAAAGCGTCGTACTTCTTGGCTAGCTTTTTGACCAGCTTCTTGTTCTTGTTAAGCTTCTTCAGCGCTTCGGCGTCCATGAACGGAATGTCGTTGGCCTTGGCCTCATCGCAATGCTGCTGGTCACCAAGCACGCACACCTGCATCTTCGGACGCGGAATGTACTTCAGCCTGTTGAGTGGAGGAAAAGGAATCGGTGTTAAAAATCGTGTTAATTGGACACAAAGCGTAAGCGAGATGGGGGATAGGGTAATCTATTCGAATCTAACTCACCACCGGTGACGGAAGAGAGCTTTTACGTTTATCTAAGGCAAATAAGGGGGTTCGGCATGTTCCGAACTGTTCATTCGGAACCATGCCTCCTCACTTTATTTAAGACCCTGAGTGCAGGTCCGTCTCCCCTTTGGAAGACTTCCTGATTCCTCAACCATTGTAGGATCGGATTCGTCTGAACTAGCCGGAAATTGCCTTCCAGCTTGGTTCAAAATTCGAATCTCCTTCCACAGCGAAGGGGAAAATCAGGTCAACACGTACTTGACAGTGCCCGAGAAACGCTTGTCCTTTTGGGGATCGTAATTCTTCAGACCAATCTGCAACTCGACCGTCTCCAGGAAGCGACGGTGCTTCTTCTTGGAGCCCTTCAGCACCTCGTTGACGCATTCGTACAGGATTTCCTTCGACACTTTGGTACTGGAAGACGAAATAAAAAACACATTAGAACATAACCTCACAATTTAGATCGCTGTATGTGGCGAATCAAAATAGCGAAAACTTTCACGGAAACCAGCAAATTTAACACAAATTATCAAATCACAGCGCTATAGCATTTGAGGGCTTGTAATTAACCGAGAAAATCTTTAGTTTGAGCCACTAAAATTAGGTAGAAAATTGAATTCACTCACGCCATAATGCTGCGTTGTGCGACCGCACTTCACGACGATTACAAGTGAAAAGAGAACGACCGAGCAGAGGCCGGAAACAAAATGGGTTTTTGACATTTTTCCCGACGACAGCTGATGCAGCTGTCAAATTTTTATTCTAACCAGTGAGATGTGAGTGGTGTCGATTTTGGCATGCTGATTAGCATTCGAAACCAATTTCGAAGCAGATCTCTATACAGGTATACCTCGATATAACGTAACTGTCACTATTGACTTCCACCGCCGATTTCTAGCATACGATCATTCAAACAAGAAAAGTAATAACAACATCGGACAGATGAGATAATCTCCAATCTATTGGTAATAATAATGTATATGTATATCGAGGTATACCTGTTCTAAGTTTTCATAAGAGCAACCGTAACGGTCGTTGTCATTTGCGCGACAATTTTAACAGCGCACAACGGTCTCATTTTAGTTTAGTCACTCTTCTCCACACCGGCCGCTGCTATCGCGGTTATCAATTTACTCGCCGTAGTCCGTACCGGTAGTGAGCTTTTTGACATTTCTACAAATAGCAACCTTTCTCCCGCGCTGCTAAATTTGGTAACGCGCTCTGTATACGTAGGTAATGGACAGCCGGGACAGCCCCTAATGAGTTTATGAGTAAAGATTCTTTTTTTCTACTCATCAGTGGGTATTTTCAAGTTAGCGTGTGCTGTGTATTTGTCAAACAAAACGTCAATATTGTGAGTTTGATCCAATGAGTTGGATTACCGAGGTAAAGTAATCGGTTAAGTTGTGTGAGTAAAATCCCTGTACGATACAAGCAAGTAGTGACGTCACTACTTGCGTTTACGTTAATTTTTTGGATTACTAATCCAACCATATTTCACGATCTGCTTCACCTCTTTCTGTACACAGCAAAAAAAGTTGTAGAATATTACATCGAAACTGCTGCAACCAGGTCAATCCATCAGTTGTGTAATATCACATTGTACGATGTACACACTTAGTTTATTTCACCGAGGCCGGCAAAATAAATTGCCGAGAATCCAACAGCCGAAATTTCGTTAAAAATTTCGGTAAAAGTATAGAATACCGAACGCTTGGTAATTATCAGTTTTATTCGACTGTCAAATTTTACCGAGAACATCGGTATTTGTATACCGAGCGTTCAGCTTTTATTTTACCGAAATACCTTAAAACAAGAATAAATCTTTTACCAATCCTTCGGCAAACCGTTCCAGGAATGATTTTGCGTTTGCCGACTATCGTCGAAATTTCAACTTAAATTAATTTGATTATTCAGAATAGCATTAATAATAATACCAAATTAGTGGAAATTCTGTAAACAAGTTTTTATTCCATTTATTCGCGCAACAACACATTATTACTCACTCTTCGAGTGATCTAACAAATTTTTCACCAGTCGTAGAAATATTGTCTACAGAGAAAATAATTGCTCTGAAAAATATAAAAAACTGTTTATCACTCGGTGCACATGCCGTCCCGAATACGTCGAAAGCCTTGCAAAACACGCTGAATGCATGGACGATGTTACCACCTAGCGGTATATTGATACTTTTCCATGAAATAAAGCATTCTCCCTCGGTCATGGGACTTCCTCTTACAATTATAACAGGAACATTGTAGTCGATGGGTAGTGGGTCATCCAACTGAAATACAAAAAATAAACATTATAATTGAGAAACCAACTTATTTTAATCAGGGGAATTGTTCAGGTCTACAGATGCATAAAAGAAAAAGTGCGTCTATTGTGAAAAAAAGTAGGCGGGATGAATAGAAAGGCAGTTTCTTTTAATTGTCTATTGCTATTTACCTTAATCCAATTGAGTAGTCCCTTCAATGGGTTGTCCTTGGCAGAATCTTCGTCGCGCACACGTTTTGAGCCTCGAGTAGGGTTTTTAGCTCGGATAATAGCTAGTGCTCTCAAGAAATCTGTAGTACAAAATTATGTTAAATAAGATTTTATGAAAATTGGTACAATATTACCCTCGACATTACCGTTAGATATTTCCCTGAACAAGTGTTGGTAGGTTTTAAGCACTTTTGCTTGCCAGACATTCCATTGTTCTGCAAAATCCACGGTTTGGTTTCGCATTCTTTTGAAATCATATTCAACCTATAACAAATATTGCTACTATTTATACTGACGTTTTAGTGCATTAAGTGGTCATACTTACTAATTCACCCTCGAATGCCGAACTAACGGGAAATTCTTCGAGAAAAGAGTGGAAGTCATGATTTTCACGATACTGTGACCGATACTCGAATGTAGATGTCCATAACTGGTTAATCCTGCTTCTGTTTTCGGAAATCGGGACAATAAATTTAAGTTCTTCCACCTGAAACAATCAAAATTACCGAATTTTAATGGTTAATATTCTAATATTTTTTATTTTCGAGCAGTGTAATACAGTAATCAAATCTACAAGTTCGAAAGTGAAAGGAGCATACAAGCTTTTTGTACACAAACCTTTGTAGGCCTTTTTCTCACCAACCGAAGGTTGCCCACGTAAACCAACATCATCGGTTCGGGGAAAATTTTCTCTACCCGTTGATGTTGATGGTTTGCGTGGGTTTCATGTGGGTGACGAGAATAGGGCATAAGAAGAATTGTTTACAAAAAGCTTGTATGCCATTTTCACATGTTGTTCTTTAATACAAGCTTTTTGTAAACAAACCTTTACAGGTCCTTTTCTCGCCAACCGAAGATCGCCCACGCATACCATCAACATCAATGGATGGGAAACTTTCCTCTTTTCATATATTTCTCTGAATTAGACCCTATTTCTAGCTCAATCTAGATTTTACTATCTAATCAAAGTCCTCAATTTAGCTGAAATAAGGGCGTAAATGTTTTTGTAAATATGTAATAGCTTCTCACGAAAATTTCTGAGAATTCAAAACTCAGCCACGCAGATCAGGTAGGGACGACTTTTCCTACACAATGGTTGTGTTGGTGTCCGTGGATGTGTTATGAATTCCCAGAAATCTTTGAAAGAAGTCATAGTTTACAAAGCCAGCTACGCCCTTCTTCCAGGTCTATCTAGAACTTATCGTTGATAAAACTTATCAATAAAATAAATCACTTACCATAGCAAAAAGATCAATTTCTGGCACTTGAACAACTGGAAGATTGACATGCATCCCTTCGTCGACTTTGGTTAACCTTCTGCGGAACACCCGCGCTTCAGCTCGCTTCGCTAGGTACTCCAAATGGTAGTGAATTTTACCAGCATGTTTTCCATCACCACGTCCGTTAATATAAAACCACAATGCCTAAAATAGTATTCAACGGTTTTAGTTGCCTCTTCAAAATTATAGTAACTCTTAAAAATTACATGTGGTACGTCCGAAACTGACGAAGCCAAAATGGGATACGATTGAACCAATGACTTTGCAACAATATTCTTGTAAAATGTAGAGGCACGCCTAGAACGAAAATTAAAAATCGATTGAAATGTTCCATGCGATGATAATTCTCGATGAACAATTCAAAAGGTCCTATCTGCTTTGATCGATTCTCTTCATCGACTTTCTCTTTTGATAACCACTGCTATGCAAACAGGTTTTGCGCTCTTTTTACCACATGGTTTGATAAAGGAAGATCTTAGCTTGCGCCCAAAACGTCAAATACAACAGAGAAAGGTTAAAGCTGAGTCATTAACGAAAGAGAAAGTCGATGAAGAGAATCGATAAATGCAGATAGGACCTTTTGAAATGTTTGTCTAGAATTGTTATTATGATGTACTTACACTCCGTAGTTAGACTTCAAAAATCCGCAAAGTAGGTGTGTTATTCGTTTTATTGTTTTGTCATTGGGTTTTTTGTTCTCTTGGAGAATTTGCATCAAAGCTCTTCCTTCGGCTGACCTCTCCAAAATAATGTTAATATCAATTTCCTAGGAAAATAACGAAACGTATGAAGAACTGATTTTGAAAACTTTCATTTTATAATATAAACAATATAATTTTTGACGTCTTTCATTTGCTCACGTTCATGGAGATCAATTAAAAATTGAGTAAAATTTCATTTATTTTTCCAACAATAATGGAGATTTTCAAAAATGAATTTTAATTTTACTCGAAAATTGGGTGTGCTTGATTCAAAAACATCATAAGTACCCAATGTTGTGCACCGTGTACACATTTTTGAGTAGTCTTTTAACAAAAACGAGATAATTTCTGCTTAATTTTAAATTAATTCGGACGACTGTTTATACGCTTCAATATTTCAATTTGGATGACATGATACACATTTATGAGTACTGTGTAATTTCAGTGTTGCTTTCAGAAAACAAATCACGCGGAACACGCGAAAATGGCCTGTCAGTGTTGATAGATTTTCTTCATCGATTTTTTCTTTCACGAATAACGCTACTACAAAATTTGTTCTGACATCGGTTTGTTTACAAAATCAGATAGGACCTTTTGAAATGTTCGTCTAGAGGCTACTTAGCAATGTTTTCATTGTTTTCGTTACTAACACAAAGAAGAACCACGTTGACCTGGAGCTCGAAGTGGGACGTGGTAAAACCTTAAAGCACTCTACTAGACGACTTTAGGTAAAACTAAAGCACTCTAGTAAAAGTGTGGACGACTGTCACCACAAAACTGAAAAAAAGTTGTTCCAATCGAGCAAAGCAGTGCATTTTGACGGTTCGATTGGAACAACTTTTGACAGTCGTCCATACTTTAACTAGAGGGCCTTAGGTGAAACTGGTAAACCAAGAAGAAAGTCGAAGAATCGATAAACGAAGATTGCATGGATCATTTCTAGCGTTTAGAATTATAAGGGCCTAACTGCGATGATCGATTCTCTTCATCGATTTTCTCTTCGCATTACCACAGTTAAGTGAACAATTTTTACGAAATTATTATAATACAGTGAAGTGAAGAGATGTATTAGCAAGCAAAAGCAACATAAAACGCACCGAGAAATGTTACTCCAGCCTATTTATTGATCAAAGAGAAAATCGATTAGAAAATCGATCATCGCAGTTTGGCCCTTATGATTCTGTATACATCGATTTTGCGAACAAAATTACATCCATTGATGTAATATTGTATCTGCGTTTTGCTATTACATCATTATTTCATACATCAGCTTGAATTACGTTGATCGATATTACTTTTTTTTTTGCTGTGTACTCATTGAGTTTGATCCGTTTGATTCTCATGTGAGATCCGGCTTGGAGAACTATCGCGTAAAATTTGAAAAGGGCCTATTCTCGTTGATCGATCACGCAGAAAAATTTACCGTTGAAACAAACATATTTGAGGTAAACTTAAACGTAAACTCAATTTGTTCTGGCCACAAACATAAGCTAGGTTGATTTCAAACGTATTCCATGTTTGAAGCCATTGTTAATAATGTTTAAAACAAAAATATTTTTATTTTATATTTTATTTTATAAATATCCGTGTTGAAAATAAACGTGAATATTTTTGGCTGATTCGACAACTATATGTGATCAAAAATAAATATGTTTATTTTCAACATGTTTTTTATGTTTATTTTAAACATGCTTTTCATGTTTAAAATAAAAAAAAAAAGATTTTGAAATTATTTTTGCATTTGAATGCGGGACAAAATATTTAAAATAGATAGCACATAAATGGAAATCGGCAAACAGGGCATCTATTTTCGGTGTGATTAAGGGTGGTCTATGTGTTGGGATCTGGGGGAGTGGGCATGTGAGTGGGTGTCCGGGGGTTCCAGTTCAGTAAAACCGGTGAAAATTTGAAATATTAGCGTTGTTTTGTCGTTTCTGATGCTGATCCTCATACCGGTCTCTTTCTACGTTTGGTGTTGGGGGATTATCTGTTTTTCTTTCGACGTCGGTTGGGGGTGAGGATGATATGGGGATCGGCAACCGAAACGATGGAGTGACGGTGATATTGTGGGGTTCCACCGGTTTTGTCGAGTAAGTGTTCCATTACTTGCGTGGGTTTCCGGACCTTCGGTTTCACCGCTTGCAGCCCGTTTTCGGTTGAGTTTGCCGAATGTAAACAACAAGGAAAAACGGACACGCTGAAAATTGTTTACCCAGATTATGTATTGTTGAAATAAACATGCTTTTGAATTTAATTCAAACATACATATTTTTGTTGAAAATGTGTTTTCAATTTACTTTGAACTATTTATATTTTTATATAATGAAAATATATATTTTTGATCTAAATGAATAAAATTTGGTTCCGTGATTCTCTTCATCGACTTTTTCTTTGATTTACCACGGCAACATAAACGAATTTCTCGCTAAGCTCTCAGCACAGTTCGACAGAAGATGATGTTAGCTTGCGCCTGAAACAACACACTGCATGGGAAATTAATTACTTCTATTATTTTTATTATTATTACAAAGTTACTCAATTATCAACACTACACGGATAGAAATCTCCTTATACCTTTTGGCAAATTTCTATTGCTGATTATTCATAAAATTTATAAGTCATCAGACGCCTTGCAAAAAGTTAATGAAGATCATGTGTCAAATGAAATGTATAAGCGGTCACATATACCTTTTATGCATTATTATAGAACCTATGTGATTTGTCTTATGGAATGTAATCTGATCTGAGTAAGCCTACTTGTCGGATTGAAAACTAGTTAGAACCTGGGTGCTGCGGACTCACTCAATGTGCTTGTTTTTGGGAGCCAGTCAGAACTGTCAAACGGAAGCCAAACATTCAGAAGCAAAAAACGCAGTAACTGTTCTTACCTCTCGTCAAGCATTGCAATCTCATAAATATGATTCATACTTTTTCATAACACATTCTTAATTGTAAGCTCAAAAACAAAAACCAACAGGCTCAATGATGAAAGTATAAAAACTAGCATAGTTTTTATGACTCAGCTGAGTTTTCAATTGCAGTAAAACATACACAGAAAAAAAAGTTGTTGAAAATTACATCCAAACTGCTGCAACCTGGTCAACCCATCGGTTGTGTAATATAACGTTGTACGATGTACATCGATTTTGCAAACAAAATTACATCCATTGATGTAATATTGTATTTGCTTTTGGCTATTACATCATTATTTCATACATCAGCTTGAAATACATTGATCGATATTACATTTTTTTTTGCTGTGTAGTTTGGCGAAACATGTATGTAAACAAACTTTGATAGAGTCATGGGGGCTCAAGCACTCCTGGCTCAGAGCTTTTGGCGGGAATCAACTGAGGAAGAAAAAAAAAAAACAATTTTAAACTTGAACAAATTTTCAAGCAGTTTTCCATTGGCTTGCAAAATGAAATTGATTTACTCCGCAGTACTCAGGGCATCTTTAGCGGCGATACAATTGGTTGGTTTGGTCTAAAATTTAGGAACAGACCCAGACCGAGCCCTTGCACTGGTGGTCTATATTTGGTTTTAGATTAGTTCCAAAATGTAATTTTTTTAAACCAGTATAATTCTCGATCTATTTTGAACTGAATTTGGATCAAGGCAAGCACTGTTCTAAACTAGTTTGACAGCTGTCGCACTCGAGATTTTGTTATGTTTAGTTTCGTTGTTGGGTTTTTTTCTGCAAAACAAACCGATTTAGTTCCTCGATTTTCTAAGAAACGTGGGCGGAACAATCGACTGCTGTTGACATTGGTGTAGTTCCAGCTCTATCGCACTATCGGTGCTGCTGTTGCTGCCGGCCTGTCGTCGCAGCTGCGAAAGGATCACAAGGGAAACATCCGGACGCTTCTGTTCTGCAGGATTTTCCGGGCTTGTTCTGGAAACTCCCAGGGAAGTGGCCAGTTTCTGACTTGGTCCAAAACTCATCATGTGACACATCAAATCACATAAAATTTCAAAAGCAATATCAATTGTAGTAGCAATGTAGCAATATCAATATAGTGCACAGAATCATGTTGACCCCAATCGGATATGTTCTGGGCACCTCCAAGGAAATGGCCAGTTTCTGATTTAATCCAAAACCCATCATGCGTCACATAGCAAATCACATTAGATTTCAAAACCAAGATCAATGGAAGTCAAATAATGTGCCCAGGACCTCCTTTCTTACTTCCAGGCATCTTTCAGGAACCCCTAGGGAAGTGAGTAGTTTCTGATATGGTCCAAACCCTGTGATTCGACAATACAATTTCACAGAAATTGATAAACGAGATCAGTTTAAGTCAAATATAGTGTCCAGATCCACATTGGCCACATTCTGGTATGTTCCGGGTACCCCCCAAGAAATTGTCCAGTTTCTGACTTGGGCAACACGCAACAACATGCCAGACAACTTTCAATAAATACAGGTTTTTATTATTATTTCACTGGGAACCATGAGGAGCAGGATAACAAGCAGTTCAAGGTTTTTTGCACATCAATCCCGGAGACAGCCATCGGAGGTAAATTTCACGGTAATTTCCGGATAAAAACCGTGTACGAAAGCGCACGAGAATAAAAAATGGCTGACCACGAAATCAGGGTGTGAGTTGGTGTTGACTCGGGTTTTGACGTTTGAAATAGAACGGCTAAAAATAGATCAACCGGTGCGTACGCACACAGTTTGATCTATTTTGGCTTGATTTTTTTTTTAATTTTAGCTGTTTCAAATGTGACATACATTTGGATCTAGATCAGACCACCGCTAAAGATGCCCTCAGGTTAGAACCAAATCGACATCGGTTAGGCATCTTGATGTCATTTGTGACAACTGTCAAACTTTCCGTTTCCGTTCCGCTTCCGCCCACATTGAGTGTGGGCCTTAAGGCTGATGTTTTGGCAAAAATGTATAAGTGAAACACATGGATAAAATAATTGACCACTTTGTCAAGCAGTTTTGGCGTGACTTTCTACCAGCGATTTCACAAAACTGGACCAACTAATTTCTATTTTTTCATGAAACGCACAAATGTTGGCTACTTTTCTCGAGGTCCTAGAAGAAAAAATCTCAAAATAATGTTTTATTTCAAAGTTTGAGTGGTAGTAAGCGTCATTTTGACAGCTCTTATAAAGTGGTTAATTGGCGTCTTGCAGTGAAACATTTCCAAGCTTTCGTCTCCTACATTTTGAAGTGAGAACTACTAGAAGGAGGATAGTTTCCAAATTTTCCAAGTAAAACAGACGATTTTTGGGGCAAATCGGTCCATAAAGAAAAACTACACAGCAAAAAAAATGTAATATCGATCAACGTAATTCAAGCTAATGTATGAAATAATGATGTAATAGCAAAAAGCAGATACAATATTACATCAATGGATGTAATTTTGTTCGCAAAATCGATGTACATCGTGCAATGTGATATTACACAACCAATGGATTGACCTGGTTGCAGCAGTTTCGATGTAATATTCAACAACTTTTTTTGCTGTGTAATAATTTCCCGTGGAAATTTTTGCTTGAATCGTGTAAGAAAAACGTGTTTGAAAACTATTTGTTATTATTTCGGTATGGATCGGAGATGTTTTCATGGAAAATAATACATAACAAGTTTGCACCCACAGCAAGACCACAGACAAACAGACATAACACGTTGAATATTTTTCACTGTAAAACATCGTCGCTAAAACATTACCGCCATCTGTTGAGTACACTGTGGTGGGTAGTACGCTGAACAGATGGCGGTAGTGTGTAAACGTCAAACGCAAGGGAATTGACTATGCGCGCCACAGGTGACGGTACTACCAACTACGATACTTTTAAATTGACCGTTAAATGCTTGTTCGATGAAGAACTTGCGAGTGTTATGTCTGCTTGTCTGTGGCAAGACTTTACCTCGGACGTTACCTCCTACGCAGCTGTATTTTTCGGAAAATGGTGAATATGTGCGATTTCCACTAAGATGAAGTTGGAAATTAAGTGAATTTACTTAGGAAAGGTTGTATCACAGACAAACAGACATAACACTTGCAAGTTGTTCGTCGAACAAGCATTTAACGGACAATTTAAAAGTATAGCAGTAGGTAGTACCGCCACCTGTGGCGCGCATAGTCAATTCCCTTGCGTTTGACGTTTACACACTGCCGCTATCTGTTCAGGTGGGCACTACCAGAGTGTACTCAACAGATGGCGGTTATGTTTTAGCGACGATGTTTTACAGTGAGAAATATTCAATGTGTTATGTCTGTTTGTCTGTGGTTGTATCATGCTGGTGGTAATGGAGAATTGGTTGTATAGGACGCCAATATTCAATAAATGTTCATTTTGGCCTTTTCTAAGCAAACATATTGATACACACAAAGAAAACTCGTTGCTAAAATTAAAAAATCCATTGATATAATTAAAAGTTTGCGTTGGTTCTTTTTGGTAGAAAGTCGTTAGCTTTCAAACCGAAAGTCAGTTATCTGTCAAATCAAAAGTTGCTCCCTCACTACTTTTAAAAGTTGAAACTTTCGAATTGAATTGTACTACTGTCAAATGAAAACCATGACAATGTTAAAATTAAAAACGGATTAATTTTGCTTCAAAGCAAACTTTTGGTTTGAAATTGTTGTACAGTTGAAATGACAGGTGTCATTTTGAATTTAAAAGAACAATAAATTTTAATTTAAAGACAAGCATTTTCATTTTAAAGTCCTCTCATTATTTACTTTATAACCGTTATTAATTTTTCAAATTATTATATTTTTTTATTCTGTTCTGCAGATTCTGCTGCTCTGTCATAACATCCCTTCAACTGATAAAAAAATTTCAATGCTTCCATACCGTTTGTTCACACGAGCTTAGTGGAACCGTTGCCATTGATGTACCCAACGCTTCACCTTGTCCAAAGATCTCCCGTCCGTATTCAATTTAACATCTTGACTCGCATTCTGGTCCCATCGTCCGGTACGATCTTTTTCTTCCTGTGAAACTGTTATGCCAACAGCATCGTTAGTTTTGGCCGCCATCCTCTCTTCCACCCGGTAGATGTTGAAGAAATCCAATCCCTGCATGTGATACTTTTCCAGCCGTTGCACCAAGATCAACACGGAAAGTCGAAAACGGTTAGCACTTAAAAAAAAAATCAATTATTCACAGTCATGTCACAATTCCTTCAATCTTACCTATTGCGTGCGGAGTCACCAAATGAAACTAAATTTTACTTAAAGAACACCCGAAGGGAGATATCGGAATCGGTTACCGTTGCAGGCACTGTATGTTTTTTTGAGGAATTTTGTCTTAGTGGTTAAGACTATATGCCCTATTGGCGTTGACGGCACCGTCGAAAAATTTGCACTTCCAGCAAATTTAGACAGTTTCTTATGAGAATTTTCGGTGGAGTGAAAGGATAGTACAAAGTCCGCCATGTTTCACGCACAGTCTGACGTTTGCTTATGGATTTTTCCATAGATTTTTCTGTTTTAAGAGTATGCACTTTTAAAATTACGAGTTGATAGTGAAAGAATCACTTTCAAGCTAAAAAATTAAATTTCATTTTGAAATTATTTGTTGTAACCAAATTTTGAGAACTTTTAATTTGAAAACACATAATTTTTAATAACATAATTTTTGTTTTTTGTGTGTACTCACAATTTTCGACGGAAAACGCAACGGAACTTGATTTACTCAACACGCACCATACTATAATATGGTGCTAGATGGTTTTCAAAGTGATAACAAGATGACAAATCATCTTTATTTTGAGTAATTGAGCAATTTACTACTGTTTACATCATATTTACGATGCAGCATTGATGGAGCCGCGAAATGAAATGAATATATCTTATGAAATTTCATCTGGAAAAGTCAAAGATGCACATCAGTCTGATCGTAAAAACGTTTTCTTCTTCAATTCGAATGTTATATTGGAAGGATTTTACACAGGCTTGATGAAAATTATGATTTAACGCTAATTTTCACGAATTTTATATGCAGTCTGTCAACATTATCATCATCATGCAGTGGTGACATCTGCGTTGAGCTTTTACGGCAATCTCCCAATTGATTTTCGTTTCGTGTAGCCACAGCCACGAAGTTGTGTTGCTACAATGAGCTGGATTATCGAGGTGAAGCAATCAGTTAAGTTGTGTGAGTGAAACCTCTGTACGATACAAGCAATTTGTGACGTCACAAATTGCGTTTACGTTAATTTTTTGGTTTACTAATACAATAATATTGCACGATCTGCTTCACCTGTTTCTGTACTCATTGCGTTAAATGGTCAACTTTCGATTGCTGACTGACCTCGAGGTAAGACGTGTGGACATGCGTAATGCGTAAGTATGGAACCCTGAAATGCCGGGCGATACTAATAGCGAATTCGTTTATTATTCAGTTCCAACCTGGATCGGGTATCAGGATTGGGTCTGCTTGTTTTCTGACAAACGTCAGTTTGCTCGTTTGTTTTTAAAACCTAGCTCAGGTTGAGGTTCGCACTGACAAAAAGTTCGGTTTCGCACTGGGTTGGAACTGGTTCCAACCCCGATAATAAACGAATTCGCTATAAGGCTGTGAACCATTTGCCGAGTTAAATTTAACTCGTGGTTAAAAGTGACATTTCGAAAGTTATTTCTTGTGTTCCTGTGTTACCGATTGATCGGTTTTTGAGGAATAGGAATTACGAAAGGAATACTACATTTCAAAGTGAGTGGCTGAACTCGACTGGTTGAATGTCAACATCCGAGTTAATAAAAACGACTCTAAGCTAAAATTTGGCATAACAGGGTCGGTATTAAAAGTTAATCCAAGTTTACCGCCACAAGTGTCATTTATTAAATTCCAGTTTTGTTCAGCCGGATTTTATGCACGAGGTAGATTTATTTTGACGAATTTGTTTACTGGCTGTACCAAAAGGCTTGCCGGTAGATTGCGATGTATATATGACGCACACCAAGAAAAAATGTGTATGA